TGGCTGGTTCTCAGCCGGTGGTTCATCCATTGTAATAACACGCAGACGTAGTTTTATTTATTTATTTTTTTTTTTCCCTTTCTTTTTTTTTTATATGCGATATTACCACCAAGTAATGTCAACTAAGAGGTCCCATTCAGTTGGCTCTACCCCACGTAATTCACCGCCTAAACAGAAAACACGTCGTAGTAAGCGATTAACACCCCCCGGAACTCCTCCAGCGAACACTCAAGAATCTGTGTCTCAACCACTGCCAAGTACGTCTTCACAAGAAATGGAATCTCCATTTTTTACACCTAATCCATACCAGGTGCTTGAAAATGACAGGGAAGAAATGGAAGATGCACCTATACCTCGAGAACCACGCCCACCTCCTATCTTTGTCAAAAATTTGAGAAATTTCCAGTTGTTGTGTACTCAACTTAATAAAATCTGCCCAGGTAGCTATACATGCCTAAACAGAATAAATGATACAAAAATAATACCGGCCACACCTGAAGCGTACCGAAAAATCGTAAAATATTTAACAGACACAAATGCGGACTTTCACACATACCAGTTGAAACAGGAAAGAGCACTACGAGTTGTAATAAGAAATTTACACTCCTCAACCCCAATAGAAGTGATTAAAGAAGAGTTAACGGCGTTAGGGTTCAAAATACGTCAGATAACCAATGTTTTAAAAGAAAATAAAGAACAACCAGGTGTAAAGAATAAAATCCCATTGCCCTTATTTTTCGTCGATCTAGAGCCATCGCCTGGGATCGAAAAAATATACGATGTGAATAGAATTTTCTACACCAGCGTAAAGGTCGAAAAACCGTACCCAAAAAGAGAGTTCATCCAGTGCCATAATTGCCAAGCATATGGCCACACCAAGTCTTATTGCCACCACTTACCACGCTGCGTGAAATGTGGTAAAACACACAAGTCTGGCGAGTGTAATAAACCAATTACAGAACCAGCAGTCTGTGCCCTATGCCTGGAAGGCCATCCAGCCAACTACAAAGGCTGCCAAATTTATAAAAATCTTAAAGCGAGATATATGAAACCCAGGGACCCTGATGATACACCTAAACCAAGAAGAGGACCCGCTAAAATTGTGAACTCTAAGGTTTCTTTTGCCAAGCTACTTGGGGGTAGAGACCCGACTAATGTATGTGAGGCCCTGCCGCAAGAACAAACTCAACCCCAATCTCAATATCCTATCCCACCTAATGTACCTAATCAACAACAACCTCACCAACATCAAATCCAATATGTTCCTCCACCGCCTAATGCTACAGATCTAACCAGCTTATTGACATCCTTTCTTTCAGAATTTAAATCCCTTGTTACCCCACTGATATCACTTCTCACTAACCTAGTATCTCACCTTATCCCTCCTTTAAAAAATCCTTAAATGACTTCCATCAAACCCATATCCATTCTCCTTTGGAATGCGAATGGTGTTAGAAATCACATACACGAACTAACAGCCTTACTACAAGACAAGAACGTAGACGTAGCCCTAATAACGGAAACTCGACTGACTAAAAAACAGCTCCTAAAAATACCACAATACATAACTTACCGTACCGACCATCCTGACGGTAGAGCACATGCCGGTACTGCAGTCATTGTGCACCAATCCCTCTCCCATCACCTACTCCCACTGCCTACACACGATTTCCTACAATCCACCGCAGTCGTAATCAAAACCTTCTCCTTTCCTATTACCGTTGCATCAGCGTATTGCCCTCCAAACCAATCCATCTCCAATATCCAATTTAGTTCCTTCCTCATTTCCTTAGGACATCATTTCATCTTGGGTGCAGACTTAAACGCCAAGCATCAACAATGGGGTTCAAGAACCACGAATTCTCGTGGTCGAACATTGCTGTCTGTACTCAATTCCCAAAATTTTACCCTTCTTCCACCCAACTCACCTACCTACTGGCCCACTGATCCTAACCGTAATCCCGATATCCTCGATTTCTTTATCCATAATGGTTTAGGTGCTCTCAACCATTCCGTTGCCCGTCTTGACGAGCTTTCCTCAGACCACAGCCCATTAATACTCCAAGTATCACTAGCTCCTATTCCTAAACCCTCTCCTCCGTCCTTCATCAGAGGCCCAGTTAACTGGAAACTCTTTCATCAAATCCTCTCCGATAAAATTGACCTCAGAGTAACCCTGAAAACCTCTGAAGACCTGGACAATGCAGTACATTCCTTCACTACCAAAATTCAAGAAGCAGTCTGGACTGCTTCCTCCCCTGATCACTCCTCAAAAATCCTTAAGAAACATAATTTACCTCAACACCTCCTTGACCTAATCCACATAAAACGCCGTGCCAGATTATTATGGCAACGTACCAGACATCCAGCCGACCGCCACTCCTACAATTATCACTGTAAAAAATTAAAAAAAGAATTAGCCACCTTCAGATCCCAATCATTCAATTCCTACCTCACCACACTCTCTGCTCATGATAATTCCCTTTGGAATATCACCAGAAAAATCCTCAAATCCCATCATATTTCCCACCCTCTTCGACGAGATGATGGCTCCTGGGCAGCATCTGATGAAGATAAAGCCGAGGAATTTGCCAAACACCTTTCCTATACTTTCGCTCCTCATCCAGAATCCCATCCCAGCCACACAGTAAAAGTAGAAGAATCCCTCTCAATACCTATCCCACTCTCCTTACCACCTAAAGCTGTTAATCCCTCTGAGGTCAAATACCTTTTACGGAAAATCACACCTCGCAAATCTCCTGGATATGACCTTCTAACCCCACAGATCCTTCGACAACTTCCATCTAAAGCCATCATATTTCTTACATATATATACAATTGCATCCTACGAACTACCCACTTCCCTCTTTTATGGAAACATTCCACCATCGTCCTCTTCTTGAAACCAGGCAAACCTTCCAACAATACAGCATCCTATAGACCAATTAGCCTACTCCCAATCCTCTCAAAAATTTTTGAAAAGATCCTACTGAAACGAATCCTACCTATAATTGAATCCTATAACCTTCCTACTCATCAATTCGGATTTCGTTCCCAACATTCCACTGTCCAGCAAGGACTCCGAGTTGTTGACCATATATCCTCAACCCTAGAAAGCAAGCAGTATTGCTCGAGTGCATTTCTGGACATAGCGCAAGCTTTTGACCGGGTATGGCACCTCCGGATTACTCTTCAAGCTTAAAATCCATCTACCACAGTCCTTATACCTAGTACTCCGATCCTATCTTTCCGACCGCTCCTTCCGAGTTCGCTATGGCACCGAATTCTCCGACTGTTACTCAATTGAGGCTGGCGTTCCTCAAGGCAGCGTCTTGGGCCCCATCCTTTACATTCTCTTTACCGCTGATATTCCTGTCCATCCCGATACCCTCCTGGCAACTTTCGCTGATGACACTGCTATCCTTTCTTCCAACTCAGATCCTGAAACAGCGTCCGCAAACTTACAAAGGCACCTCTTCCTGATTGAACACTGGTGTAAGAAATGGCGCATTAAGGTAAACGAATCTAAATGTAAACACATTACCTTCACCCTTCGGCGTAATACCTGCCCACCAGTTTATTTTAACTCCATCCAGCTTCCTTTCTCAGATACAGTCCGGTATCTTGGCTTTCTCTTAGACAGACGACTAACATGGAATCCACATACTCGACTTAAAAGACAGGAACTTAACAGACGATATGGCCAGCTATATAGACTACTGAATAGAAAATCTAAACTTTCTGGTGAAAACAAATTACTGATCTACAAGACAATACTGAAACCCATCTGGACTTACGGACTAGAACTATGGGGAACAGCCAAATTTTCTAACATCAAACGCATTCAATCCTTTCAGTCTAAAGTCCTCCGTACAATAGTCAATGCTCCCTTCTATGTAACCAATAAAACCCTACATCATGACCTTAATATCCCATTTATTCTTGATCTTATCCCAGCCAAATTTTCCAAATTTCACCAGAACCTTTCTCATCACCCAAATCCCGTTGTACAATCCCTATCAAGCACCACCCATCCCTACAATCCCCTTCGTAGGTTAAAGCGGCAGTGGCCACGAGACCTTTTGTAAATATGGATATTTTGGAGTTCTAGCAATGGCCAGATTCTCCACTCAAGTCATGAGTGTCTGTGGCTGTAGCGCTCTTACTCATCCTCCGCTGGTTTAAAATACCAGTGAAGTGGCTGAGGGAGAAGCGTAGGGATCTCCTAAGCCTCCCTTTTCCCTCCACATGTGGAGGGGACAGGATTGGTTCGGAGATCACCTGGCAAATTGTAAATAATGTATGTTTTATATAAGGTGTTTGTTTTACTTTTATTTCTATTTTTATTTACTTATGAGTATATATATATTTTTTTTTCTTTACTCTTTTGTTCTTTATTCTTATTCTTTTGTTATTACTTTATTTATTTATATTTTTGTATATACGGTATGAATGCAATCTCTGAACTCTATTATAAGTGTCCTTAACTGTGACAAATTGTAATATTTCTGAATAAAGTGTTTTTTTTTTTATATTCAAAGATAATTTATGCAACAGTATATTTTAGGATTTTATGATTCATTCATGAGCACGTGAAGATTTTATCACATTTCCCACAAAAATTTGATACATCGGAAAATTCATATCTCATTAAAATAAAATATGTAATTTATACAATTGCTTTGTTAACATATTTTCAAATATAGCTATAAGAAAAAAAACTAATATATAAATTAATTTTTCATATAATGTTCGTTTTACAATAATTATGTTAATTTGCAGTAACGATTTGTATACATAATATAAACTCCGAAGACATTTTTTTGGGGGTCTAAAGCTTTTCTCCCTCCCTATCTGCTCTATGGCAAGCCTGTTTTGACTTTCACATCAGAGATTGTCCACGGAGCAGCTAAAACGACTAATATTAACTTACATTAAATCTTTCAAACACAAAACATTCAAGACGACTACAAACAGACACTAATATGTGTATAGTTTACCTCGATATGAGTGTGTTTAGACTGACGATGATGAGGAATGGTATGATTAGGGTAACAATGGTGTCCAGGTGGTTCAGTGTTTCGGCTATTTTCTCGTGTCCCTCCATCAGCTGGCACATCTCCACCTCTTCCGTCCGAACTTCTCCTTCCCTGTAAAAACTCCTTCATATAAGTATCGTTCAAAAACAAAATTTTATTTATATCTTACAAATTATAAATATCGTGGCCATCATGTTAAAGTAACGAATGTGAACCTTTCCAACGTTCCGCATTCGTTACTTTAACATGGCGCCGACGATGTGAAATCATTGAATTTGGTTAAACATATTTTTTTGAAAATACACTTCTTAAGAAATATTAAAGATGGGTAATTAAGTAGTCGACTAATCAATTACAAGTTTGAAACAAAATTGTCAGGGATTTCAGTCATATATATTGGGTTAGCCGACGTTTCGACCCAAACATGTGGGCAGAGATGGTCAAATGCTACTTTAGAGTACTGAGTGCCAAGTATTTTACTCAAATACTGACTTTTTTTTAATGCTAAATAATTTTGTTACTACTTCCTTTGATGTCAAACGATTAACTGAAGTAGTGATTGAATTTTCAATAGTGTACCAATTTGAGTAAAATACTTGGTACGCGGTATTGAGAGTAGCGTTTGCCCATTTCTGCGTGAGAGTCATCCTCAGGACTCACCATATGTTCGAACAGGTAGATAAGTTTAGGTATCTAGGTTCTACGATAACTAGAAAAAACGAAATTGAAGAAGAAATTAAGGTTAGACTGAAGGCGGGAAATGCTTGTTCTTTTTCTGTGACAAAACTACTTAGTTCGCGCCTCTTGTCCCGAAACTTAAAAATTAGAATCTATAAAACAATTATCTTGCCTACAGTTCTTTATGGGTGCGATACTTGGCCGCTTGCATTAAGGGATGAGCAGCGTCTAGGTTTTGAAAATAAAGTGTTGCGCAGAATTGTCGTTAAGGTTGAACATAACGACGAGAGTTCAGACGGTTACACAACGCCGAATTGCGTGAACTATATCCGAGTAATATAATTGAGATAATTCCATCGCGGCGAATCAATTGGGCTTGTAAAGTTGTTGGGCTTAGTAACGAGAGAATTCCTAAAAGGTTAATATTTGCTGTGCCGAATGGTAAGCGTCCGAGGGGTAGACCGAAGCAAAGGTGGGAAGATTGCATTAAAGCCGATCTGAAGGGAATGGGTTTGGACGGCGAACGGTGGAGGGAGGTGTGTAATAAGAGATTGGTGGTGTCGGCATCGAACCTTCGGGTTCGCTAAGCCTTTTTATTATTATTATTATTTTAGACATTCTCTACTAACTTCTACGAGGTTATTGTGCTTTCTAAATCCCTCAGATTTCCAACGATATATTACTTATCTTATTTTCAAAAAGATTGTTTTCTACGTGGAAAAACATGTTTCCTTTATGTATTTTGTCCCCGTTCATTATCAAAGTACTTCATAGTTTGTAGCTGTTCATTTATTGGAAATTCTAACAATTAGTGACATTTAATTATTTTAAATGAATGTAAGGAAGGGAGGAGAGACGGACAGTCACCTTCGTTAAGTCAGTTCCTATAACATTGTGAATACTTATACAAGCAAGTGTGTCGTTTAAGTGATGATAAAATCTCAAATGCGACCCAGGAAAGTATTGAACCCTTTTTTATGTAAAGCCACTTCTTGCAGTGGAGGAGTTAGTGCTTCCTATAAGACACAGGATTGGAAAACATGGATACGATATTCCGATATGAGTTAGGCTGTGCTCCAATCCTGGCTTATGGGCGCTTGGACCATCTGGTTCACGGCACTTATAACTGATGTAGACTCCTATATGTCCTTCTCTCCATTCGTATAAATTTTATGTTTAATCTCGGGAAAGAATCAATACATAGTACCTTGTTCTAATTTGGCAATGTGGTAAAATGTAACACTTTTAATTGCCTCTTTAGATATAATTTTGTTTCCTACAAATAGCAATGTATATTATGCGTTTGCGAGAATGCGATCTCTGATTACAAATTTTTAAAATAAAATATGGTTAGTATTCTAGTAACTAGTAACTGGAAGTGCATTTTACAGTAAAGTGTACATTTGACTACATATAAATACTAAAACTTTGCCCATATGTACAATGGTTAACTCATAGGATTATTGTATTTTAAAACAAAAGAAATACAATGTGTAAACTCTCTAATCGCTTATATCTAATAAAATTTGGGGCACACTTGTCCGTACCGCGTTCTAGCCGCACCACGGTCGTATGTAGTCCCTTCTCGATAAAACCAAAAATATACTGAAGTTAAGTTAGAACAAAATCCGTGTTCTCTATCTAATTAGACAGTCGTAATGATTAGATACACATATAAAAAAAAAAATTGATCAAGGACATATCGAATCATTCGGACTACTACGCTATTACTATTGCTCTACCCGTGCAATTAATAGCGTTTGTGTTGTTAAATATTTTTGGTGGTGGTGATAAACCACACGAACACATCAAACAGTTATTTTACTAGCTGGCAGCAGAAGCAGGACCTCTACTGAAGATTTCTATTGCCAGATTGCCAGCTCCTTACTTAGATTGCGCCTTTACGCTGTTGGGGTCCATTCATATCACTTGGAACTAACCTTGACAGCTAAACGGGCAGCATCGCTCTGGTAAGGAGACCCCAACGTGATGGCCTCCCACGACACCCATATGGAGGCTGAGGAGGATGCGAGGGGCGAGAAAAGATCAGGAGGTGCCGAAGTTTACCAAGAGCCACCAAAGCGACACCAGATAAAGGGCCGCGCAGAGGTCACCGTACCTGTTGGAATTCCGGTTTCAAACCGCTACGAGGCTCTTGCGCCCCAGGAACCAGATGTTACCCAAAATGAAAAGATCCGACCGCCTCCACCCATCATAATCAAGCCACCTATTTCACTGACATCGCTGAGAATTCTACTAAGAGAGCTCAACATAGAGGAATACTCTTCCAATTCTTCTAAGCAAGAAACCAGATTGTACCTAGCTACTGAGGTGGATCATAACACAGCTCTCCAGGCACTTCTACGTGAGAAAAAGGTAGAATTCCACACCTTTGCCCCGCGTGGAACCAAAAGAACCCAAAAATTTGTCCTTTATGGCTTTGATGTAGATTACGACGTCAAAGACATAATCGATGAGTTAAAAAGAGTACTACCAGGCTTCAGACTCGCTAGAAGGTTAACAAAACAAGCCCCGAATGGTGAAAGATATGACATCGAAGCCATTCAGATAATAGTAGATCATTTTGTAAAAATAGAAGATATACGAAACCTTGGAGCTATCAACAGGATCAAATTTAGAGTGACCTCCTTTAAAGAAGATATTGGACCTGTACAATGTAGAAACTGCCAGGAATACGGCCACACAATGAAATACTGTGGCCGTACATGTCATTGTGCATGGTGCGGAGATCATCACCTGCTGGCACAATGCCCCAAGAATGTTAAACCTTATTGCTCAAACTGCAAAGGAGACCATCCAGCGTTTTCAAAAGAATGCTCCTACCGAAAGAAGATTATTGACCAACGTCGAAACCAAAAGAAGAAGAAAGAGGAGATAACCACGCCACCCCCTACACGGAAACCAAGTCAACTAGTGAAGTCGGGGTTAGAATACTCAGCGGTGATTGGCGGATCAACCAGCCAATCACAGCAGCCCGCTCACCCCCATCACCATGACTTCCCCCAGAGTTCTCCCCACCCGTCTGCCACACCATTAGAAGCAGCCCAGCCGTCTAAAAAGAATGAACAATCAACGCTCATCAGGCTCGTCGAAGGAATGCTCCAGAGGTTAGACCAGATGATGGGCTTCATCACAACCCTCCTTAATACCGTGCTGAGCCAACAAAAACATGATTGAGCACCTAGTTTGCACCTACAATATCAGAGGCCTCGCACAGAAGCAGGCTGAAGTAGAGCTTTTCCTGCAGCAACACAGACCATCGGTGATGGCGCTGACTGACACATTGATGCCCCCTCGTCTCGACTATACTTCCATGGGTACACTGTATACCGGGAGGTTTGCTCACGCGGGTCGACAGAAGGCGTTGCTATACTGGTCAGAAGAGATGTCCCTTCGAAGATCATCACGAACCCAGTGGAACCTACTGAGGGAACTCACATAGTCACAGTAGACGTGCGATTTAAACATCGGTACAGGTTCACCTGTGTCTATAGGAGACCGAGGGCGGTTCTCACGTCAGTGAAATTACTACTACAACACGCCCAGGCAAGAAGTCGGTATGTTGTCCTTGGGGACTTAAATGCTCGACACACCTCCTGGCTGTGTGGTAGTAACAACCCATTGGGCACGTACATCACAAAGACCAGGCTCGCCGTCTTCCACCCGGGTGTTCACACCTTCAGGCATGCAGCCCGACCTGAGTGGACCTCTACGCTAGATCTGCTACTCACCAGGGATCTGCACACCATCACGGATTGCCACGCACTACCGTATGGACCCTCAGATCACCGGCCGGTGCTATACACATTTGAGGGCACACCCGCCACTCCACCCGCGAGCAAATATCTGCTTCATAAAGCCGATTGGAAGAGATACAGATCTTGCGTTGAGGAAACACTACCAGCAGTTACACCATGCAGAACCCGAGATGAGGTGGATAATGCTGTAAATGTCATCACCACCACCATCCAAGCCTCAGCCAAACGGAACATTCCCAAGTTTGCTCCACAGCCCAACGCCATCAGAAGACCTCCACGGCACATCCTAGTTCTGATCAGACAGCGAAACAACCTAAGGAACGTTTTCCAGCGCACTCGTAACTACAGCTTAAAACCGGCCATCAATGCGATGACCCGGCAGATAGCAAGACTCATGAGCGACTGGAAGACATCACTCTGGCACGAGCAGTTACGAAGGACTCATGACGATTACCGTCAGTTCTGGCGACTTGTCAGAACCTTCGTTAGTAAGAAAAGAAGCGTGCATCTGACATCAGGAGACGCGCTACTAACAACTGGGGAACAGGCTGAACACCTGGCGAAAAGTTATGCAGCAAGGGATGCTGAGCGAACTAGAAGCTCCCCACCGGTGCAGCAGAGATCATCACCTGGACTCACTGAGAAGCCCATATT